TTTTTATATGCTTGGCGGCTTTTTCCAGCCAGCTGGCCGTGAATGCCGATTCGCACGTGATTATGATCCCTCCGTTCTTCCTGTAGAGTTCCTCGAACCCGAGGTGCTGGGTGTGTGCCCCCTTGGCTGTTCTGGCTTCCATGTACCTTTCGGCGCATATCGCCAGTGCGTCGTTGAATTCGTCGCATTCCGTCGGTGTTAGTCTTGTTTTTGGGTAGTCCTCGGGCATTATCGCCAGTTGCTGGCTCGGTGCCTTTCTGTTCCGTCGGTCCTCTCGGTTCATGTTTGCTTGCTTCGTGTTTTCGTTTCTGACTGTGTCGTCGTCTCGGGGGTCTCCCGTATTTATACTTGTTGGCCGGGGTCCCTGTCTCGCCTCCTGTTTGTTAGCTTGGTTCGCGCTGGGTGTGTTCTTTCCGTTCCTGTCCCGGCCGTTACTGGTCGTTTTTCCGGTCCGTTTCGCGTCGGGTCTGTCCCTCTTATTTGTATGGTCGAGTTTTCGAGCCCCGTTCCGCCCTGGCTGTTTTCTTTTTGTTCCTGTGGGTGTTCGTTTCGTGTCTCGCCGTGCGTCCTGTCCCTTTGGTTCGTTCTCCCCTTTTTCCTTTGTCTGGCCGGTTTTTCCCTGTTCTCTATTTGTTGTGTTCCGGGTGGGGGGGGGGGGATGGTGTCCGTGCTCGGCGGTGTGTCTTCCGGGGGTTGGTTCGGCTCCTCCTTTTCCTTTCTTTCCTTGTTGGTGGTTGGGTTGCTGCGTGTGTGTGTGAGGGGGCTTGGTTTCCGGGTGTGTACGTTTGGGTGGTTGTGCTTTGTCATGGATGGTCTTGGGTATCTTGTGCGTTCATCGTCTGTATGACTGTACCTGTGGCTATGCTTTGCTTGTGTGCGTTTCGGTTGAGGCATTGGTCATTGTTTTTGTCTTCGGGCGCGTTTTATAATTGGTAATTGATTGTTGTCCCTGTCCCTTGTAACATCCTTTGTTTCGATATACGTACGCTTGTGTGGAATGGCGATTTAATATGCCTTCGGTGCCGTCGCTTTGATCGTGCATTTAGTTATTAGTTGGTCGGATAGTAGGCCGCCCGTGGGGTGCATCCTGGTGATGGTCACCATCGACTGGTTTAGAGTGTCGACTGAGGGAATAGTCGTAGCGTACTATCGGCTGATTAGTCGATAGCTTTAACCGAGTGAAATATCGCTCTCGCGGTTATGCCTCTGTATTATGGTCATAGTCTATACTAATACAACCCTAAACCGTTTGCACGGTTCGAAACACCAGCCCCGAATGAATGGAAAATTATTTACTGCTTGTGGTTTTTTAGAGTCCCAGTTATGGGTAATTTTGACAAGTGGTCTATTTTATATACACGTGGCGTATCTGTTAAAATGCTGTCGGAGTGCTGTCAAAGTGTGTAAATGACTTCTTTTCTCTCTTTTTTTCTTACTTGTTCAGTACTAGTATCTCGGACCGCAGAAAATTTTGGGTAAAGTTGTACTCGTCATATACCGGTTATCGCAACTTTTATTGATATGAGTTTCTTTGAATCAATCGAGTATTGTCAGTATTACCAGATGTTTATAATTATGAGAGATGTTTTGTTATGGAAGTGTGGTATGTATGAGTTTATATAAACTTTTTCGTAAATGTACAGTGATTTATTGTTTTATTTTCCTTAACGATACTGATCCGTTTCCGCTTCCCGTAACCTTATTAAGTCCCGCTCGGTTTGAAATAATTTACTCGTGAGAATTAAACAAGGTCTATCTTTTCTTAATAAGTAGATTATCCGATACTGCCGAATCCGTTTGGTAATAGGGTTCCTAATGAAAGTCGTTCAAAACCTACGGTATGTGTAGGGTATGGGTATCTCTTCCTTCTTCAGTCTGTTTCTACGGTAGTATAGATATACATTTCAATCGTTTGAACTTTGGGCCATCGAAACATCGGGGGGTATATTCATAATGCTATTACAGTCGTTTGGACTTTGGACCGTCGAATTATCGGTGATTGTCGAGCATCATATTGTATACCTAGTCGTCTGGACTTGGACCGTCGAGCTACCGATAGTTTGGCCATCTGAAGCAGGTTCGATGTAGTCGATAGTGTCAAAGAATTAGCCGACTAAGGGTGTCGTTGGTTACTCTCGGCTAGATCGGTAGTTTTAGCCGATGGTGCCCGTCACTAGTGCATCTTACGGGTGTATCGATGGTTGTTGGTTTTCCCCTGTAGTGGTTGCTCTCATAATTCTTTCGCGGTTATTGGTAGCGTTGTTTGTTGTGTTTGTAGGGATTATTGTTCGTAGGTTTTATTGGGTAGTGGCCAAGTTGGACTAGGTAGTTAGAAAGTAATGCTGTGTGTGTGTGTGGGTGCGGGTATTCGTTCGTGTCTGTGTGTACGGTATGCTCTGTGTTTTAATGGGTGGTGGTGGATTGTTTCATCGTTTTATTTGTCGGGGGTCTAGGTGGTTATTTTCTACGTTTCGGGATGTACGCGGGGTTGGGTGTGTACAGGGTCTGGTCTGGGTTTATGTTTTCCTCTCCTTCTTTATTGGTTTGTATCGTCTTTATTCTTTTGCTTTGTTTTATTTCTTTTACATTTGTTCGGGTGTGTTTATACTTGTTGTACATTTGCGTGTTTGGGGGGGTGTCGTTTCGTTTATCTCCCTGTTCGTGGCGTCTCTTATGGTTGGTCCTGGGGTTTGGTTCGTGCTCTGGGGGGCGTAGTTCCCTTCCCTGTCGGCTGTCGTTGCTTCGTCTTGTCGTCGCTCCGTCCCTCGTGTTTCTGGTTTGTCCTCGTGGTCGGTGTTCCTTCTTATGGTCGCGTCTTCAAAGTCCTCGTCTCGGATTTCTGTAAGTTTGTTGGCCTCGTTGTTTGTGAATACGGGTGTCCCTTTGGCTGTTAGGATGTACATTCTTTGTATGTCGTGTTTGTCCAGGGCCAGCTTGTTTGCCCGCTTCCTGATGGCCTCCAGTGATTTTTCATCGATCTGTAGCTTGATTATCTTTCCTCTCCCGGCCGTTCTCTCGCTTATTGCTGTCCATTTTGTGGTGTTTATTTCCCTGTTGAATCGTCCTATGGTTTTGGTGATGTTGTACTTGTCGAATCTGGAGTGTGTCACCTTGCCCTCTATCGTGAATCTCCGGTCGGGCGCTGTCTCGTCATCGGCCTTTAGTCTGACGCCGCTCGGCATTTTTATGTGCTTTGCTGCTTTCATCAGCCAGTCCGCCGTAAATGTTGTTTTGCATGTCACTGTTATGCCCCCGTTTCTCCTGTAGAACTCCTCGAATTGTAGGCGTTGGGTTTGTACTCCTTTTGCCGATCTTATCCTTGTGTATCGTTCCGCGCAGTTCGCCAGTGCGTCCCTGAAGTCTTCGTAGTCTGCGAGTGTCATTTTGGTCTCCGGGTGTTCCTCGGGTATGATTGTCCTCCGGTAGTTTGGGATTTTTCTCGTTCTCTGGTCTTCTGGGTTCATGGTTGTTGGTTTCCTCGTTCGTCTCGGGGAAGTACTATTTCCGCTCTTGTGGTTTGTCTCCGTATTTATAGCCGTTCTCTGCAGCGCGCTCATATTTTTTCCCTCGAGGCTCGCTTCCCCTCTTTTTCGCCCGTATTTCGATCCCCACTACTATTCTCCTCACGCGTGCACATGCGCGTTCGCGAAGCTCTCCGCAGCGCTATGGTCCTCATCATGGTCGCGTCGTCCCCACTTTTCGGCCGAGGGAAAAAATATGAGCGCGCTGATTCTCTGGGCTCGGCTCCCCCCTGTCTCCTTCCGTGTCTCGTGTTTGTGTCGCGGGGCGTGGTTTCTGTCTCGCCTGTTTCTGGCTCGTTTTCTGGGCCCGTTCCGTTTCGTGTGTTCCTCTTTCCGCGGGTCTCCGGTTTTTTGTTCTTGTTTCTCTCCCTGTTGTTTTATTCTTGTCTGTTTGTTACCGTTCGATCTGTTTGAGCACGCATTTCCGGGATCGTGATCGATTACGATTATTAAATGAGCACGGTGGAAGGTGGGTTTTGTTCAATCGGGGTGTACCTTTGGGAGGATCTGTCTGTCGGCTACGAGGGGGTCGTAGGGGATTTGCCTAATCCTGTTTTATAATTGTCCTCGAGTGTGAGTGTATAAGTATGTTTTGAAGTAATATGATGATCGGTTAGCTGTATTTGAACAGCGTTGTTGTTGTATTGACTATGGGATAAAGTGTGGTTAGTTAGAGTTTCTCGTAAAATATATTTTGTTTTTGTGGTATGTAGTTGGGTCGGTGTGTATAGTGTAACAGTGTGTTTTGGCAGGAGATCTTATTTCTAGTTTTCCGATACGTCTCCGAGAAGGTCGTGAGATCCCCCAGGGATTAACCCTTTCGCTACGGCAGTCCGTTCCGCGGCAGTAGCGCCGCTGGACGGGGCACCGAGCCGTGCAGTGTGCACATTGCGCATCTGTAGGTTTCGATGCTCGCACTTACGTCTTTCGATGGCACTTTGGAATTCTCTTGTGTGTATACTTTCTTAAGAGTTATGTAACAACTGTTTCGTCATATTATATGAAAAACATAAAAATGAGTACATTGTGAGTATTCAGAAATTAATATATTAACAAATTTTACTATTATTATAAATAAAAATACAGTTACTGTAGTTAGATATCAAATTATACAATAATTCTTAGTATTGTAACTCAGTGTGATAAATTCTAAAGCAAGGTTCCACGCAGAGACCAACATTACAATCTTTACACTCATATCGAGACTCGCGTCTTTTATCATTTGCCGTGCAGACGACGCACCTTCTATTTCGGTTTTTTCTTTGTGGTTTATATAGTGATGGAAAATGCCGTTCTATTAGTCTTAATGGATTGTTCTTGCTTTTTTGATGATGATAAGACATATTCATACGATACTTTTGCAGTATTTGTCGGATTAAATTCAAGTGAAATTTGGCCATAGATATCGGTTTTCGCGTGTTATGCTTATAAAGACAATATGCATTCCACACGCATATGTCCAGCAAATGAAAAAAATATTTACGGTACCATTTTAGAGATTTCCGTGTCGAATTTATAGTGCTTAGCACCATGTCTGCTTTGTCGACTGAACCCATACAATTATTATAGTCTATGACGCATAGAGGTTTTTGAATAATTTTTTTTCCTCCACGCCTGACAACCGTTGCAAACTCTGAAGTATGCATAGTGGATAGCATATACACTTCTTTTTTATCCATCCATTTTATAACTAATAAATTTTCAGTTGAACGGGAAGATGCCTCTCCTTTTCTCAGTGTATCAGTAATCTTTGGCATTCCTTGTCGCCTTTTTGCTACGGTCCCGCACGCATTTGTATGATTATTATGTAAGAAATTAAACAAGGCTGGACTTGAATACCAATTATCTAGGAAAACTGTATGTCCTTTTCCAAGATAGGGCGCCATTAGTGCTTCTACTATCGCTCCCGATTTTCCGATTTTCTTATTTTGGCTGTTGATCATAGTCGATGATCCGGCATAAACAATAAGATCCTGTATATAACCAGTTCGACAATCACAAAGAATAAATGATTTTATCCCAAATCTACTTCTTTTTGAAGGAATGTATTGTTTGAATGAAAGCCGCCCTTTATATAGAAGTAAACTTTCATCGATGCATAATTTTTGGTACGGATAAAATGATTTACTGAAATTTTTTCGGAGCATATCAATCACGTTCCTTATTTTATATAATTTATCATTGGTAGATGTGATATTTTGGTTGAAATGTAGCATAGATAACAATTTAAAATAGCGATCTCTAGGCATAATCTCTCCAAAAATATCACTACGCAGGAGTTTGTCTCTACTCCAGTATTCCCCTAAGGACAACTTCTTGTTGCGTGTCATTAGAAATGACACAGAAAAAAAACAATATATTTCGGATAGTGTTGTTGCTTCACCATCTTTCATATTATTGTTATTTTTTTTTAACCGATAGTCAT